TCGAAATCACATGAAGGACCAACAAAATTCGAGCTTTATTATTATGATACCTTAATTTATCTTAATATCTACCTACTTCTAAATAGCTTTCTACTTATTTATCAATGGGCATATCTAAAATCATCAATAATTTTTCAGAATGCAGTTAATATTCCATTCACAGATCTGTACCTAAGTAGGATTTAATATATTTCAGGAAAAAAATATTAGGAACCTAATGTATATAAAATGTACAACAAATTGAAACCCGTGCATAGTTGCGTAATTTCTCACTGCACTGCACTTTTTCTCTTCTACAACATGGCTCTTAGTTTTTTGGTTTGGTTGTTGTTCACTTCATGGCAACATTTGGTATATCTGAGGTAATGAGCTGTCTAACTTATTAAATGCCTCTATGATAAACTCTGTTCCATGGAAAAATTGATAATATTTCAATATCCTCCAGTATTTAAAAATCTAAGTCCTCAAAAATAGAACTATCCTGTTTATAAGCCTCTCCTGATGAAAAATTAAGTCGGCATTATTACCAACTGCATTATCCACAATCTCAGCCTAATAGAACTGTAGTGTCTTTTTTTCAAATTTAATAACATCACCCTGTATATTATCAAGTATTTCGATTTTTAATTACATTTTGTTTCCCCTAATTTCATGTTGGTAGATTCTGTATATTCATAATCTTAACATTTTTACAGAAGTATTGTGCGTACAGCCCGGTATGTATAGGGTGTCCCACTTAAATGTGTCACCCCCCTTTATCCTAATTTTCAACATATTTTGGTCATTCAAAAACTTTTCTGTTATAATTTTTCACGAATTTTTTGAATCTGTGCTCATTTCTTCTTAATATGAAAAAAATACAGGGTGGCTAAGGAAGAAAATATTTCTCAACTGAAATGATTTGAATTTTATTCGATAATAATATATTTTTGAATTCAGATTGACCTTCATCGAATCATGGAACAAAAATATAGATCATTTCTGTTATATACTGTCTATAGTTCAATCCAGGAGGTGGTATATTCATTATTCCAGATCTTTTGGGATTTTCTCTCCTTGTAAGTGACAATTTGTATTGAAAAAGGTTTGGAGAAGAGAAATAAAGGTATATTGGAAAAATATCAAATTTTCAACTTAGCTGCAGACGTTTCGGGAACGAATCTGCTCCCGTTTTCAACATAAAAAATGGATATTTGATCATCAAATTCGTATTTATTTTGTCTTGACACTTTGACAATTGGTGACTTTGACAATCAAATGAGTTACAGGTTGTTTTCATTAATTTATCTTGAATTTACCATTTTCAGATTTCAGTAGTGAATCCCATGTTCTATCTATATCAACATTTGCAAGCTAGTGAATTTTTCTTTTAGGCTCTCTGATAGGAAAATTCTTTAAATGCAGTGACATTTTGGGGCAAATCATCTGATTTGTCCTTACAACATGTATATTGAAATAATATTCATATTTTTATTTTATAGAAACGAGGAGAGAAAATCTCAAAAGATCTGGAATCTGGAATAATGAATGGATCATTTCATTTGAAAAAATATGTCTTTTCGGAGCCACCCTGTATCTTGTTGATATAAAGAAAAAGTACAGATTCAAGAAATTCGTAAAACATGATTCCAGAAAAGTTTTAGAATGATCAAAATATGATCGAGAATTACGAGGATATAAAGGGGGGTGACACATTCAAGTGGGACACCCTGTACAGGTTGTACCAAATTCGAGACGTAGCATTGAGATTTCATAATCCGTGCAAGAATGTGGGTAGAACTGTGACAACATGAAAAAAAAAAATTGGGCAACCATTAATTAACAATTTTTTTTTAATACGGCTCTGCACCTTTGATTTTGTATTTTGTAACTTTCTGGTACCCCTGAGAAAAATTATTGAATATGAATAAAAATTGCATATAAAAGTGAATACTTTCACATATGTCGAATAACTTAAAAAAAAAAGAGTTGTGGGAAAATGAAGTGGACAATGGAGTCTCAAAAAGGAGGCACGTCGTATTTCAGATGTCACAATTTCATCTTGTAGAGAAGAAAAAAAAATGTCTAAGAAAGTCATTTATTTAAAAATATATCAAGGCGACACCAAATTATGCAATTTTGCCAAAATTTAAGCAACTCCTTTCATGCCCCCCGAAAGATGAAAAAAATCCTGTATTTCTTATGGTTGACAAGATTTCAATGATACGCCTCGAATTGGGTTCACCCTGTACATGGTGATCAAAATTGGTTGGAGCAGGTACCACTTTTTTGTCATTATACACGGTGTTGAATAAGTACATGGTCTTCAGGTATATATTTTGAACCCCCACCAAACTTTCATGTATTGTTAATTTTTTTTTCAAGGAACGTTTCTTCAATTTTTGTTTTGTTTTGTAGATTTTATATTTGACATAGAAAAACAGTTGAACATCTCAAAAAATACTTATGAGCAACATTTATGCATTTTTAAATAGGACACCCTTTATTTTATTGGATTTTCAGATTCTCCCTGAAGAGCTGATTTCATTGATGCATCACATTTGGGTTCTAGTTGAAATTGTTACAGAGATATAGGGTGTGAAAATTTGAGATTTTTCAACATTAGGAATTTTTTGTGTTGAAAACTATTCAATATTGATAACTAGGGAAAAGCCAAATATAATCATTATTGGCCAAAACGGGTTTCATGTCCCCATCTAAACATTCGATTTACTATCTACTGACATTCAATAGAAGCAAATACAAGGTCATCAGAATTCCGAACTTTTTTCAGTTTTCACCACCCTGTATTCGTTTCAATTAATTGTCAGTAGAAAGTAAATCAAAAGTTAAGATAGGGACATGAAAATGTTTTGGCAAATATTGAATAGTTGATAATTGAAAAATTCAAAAACTGCATTGAATGGCATTCAAGTACCTTCCTAATGACATTTAGAAAAATCTATTACATTTGACAGTTCTCTGGCAGTTATCCTCCACTTTTCATTTTCAAATGGCACCCCTGTATTATGTCATTAGGAAGGTACTTCAATGCAGTTGAATGCAGTTTTTTAATTTTTCAATCATCTTGTCAAATAAGCGAGATATATTGCCTGTACATGATACCTTGGGACCGAGCTTGGGACACCCGGTACCTATAAAAAAGTTAAGTGGGAGTTCAAAATATATGTGAAGACTCTGTATGTGGTCAAACTTCCAGGGTTAATTTTATTGAGTGATTTTAAGACAAGAAGTTCATATTATTAAGAACAATTTTCAAGATGCAGCCACTTAGTACTACAAAAATACTGCCAAGGATTTTTATGATACCAAGGAAAACTGTTTTTTTGAATTGATATCCTTCATCTTGAAAACCATATACCGGGTGACACAGGAGACATGTAGCAGCCTGTAGTTTTTTTTATTTGAAGAGATAAAATTTTGAAATTCACAGGGGGTATATAATAAATGGTAGCGCACTTTACGAACTCAACGACAATTTTTTTCAACCACCTGTTTGACCGGAAGTGACCCCAACTTTTTTTTCAAATGTCACCCTGTACATTTCTTCAGTCTCTCTTTTTCGCCTTGAAATTCTACATCCAACCATGTATCACAAAGTGGCATTTTTTATTCCTTAATTCGCTGTTAAATTGCTTTTTCTTCAAAAAGAATAAGTTGGCTTTGACATGAATTCGATGATATATCGACGCTTGGTAGGCTTTGAAATTTAATTATCATTAGTAATGCGATATTATTCAAAATGTTTTGATATTCTGATCAATGTCTGCAGGTTGTCAATAGCTTGTTTGAGTCAAGATGAAAACCTTCGAAAATAACTCATGATATTGAGGAATCTAAGATAGGAACATTTTTTTTTTTCGAATTGAGCTACTCGTACAGAAACTATCTGTCTTTTATTTTCGCCATGTACTTATCACATGATCTCCCCATTTGGAATAATGAAACTAAAATTGTTCCTCTTATACGATGATCCACAGAGCTATCAGTCCATTTATTCATAATTATTTCACTTAGGCGGTGTACCTACACAAAATGTTTCAAGTCAGTGTTTGACAGTAAAATTTTGTATATCGCTACTTCAAAGTTGGGAACCAACTCTCCAGAAGTCGAAACTTGTGCGGGTTTAGGAATCGATTAGTTAATCCATTGCATCAATAATTTTTCTTCTTCATTTGTGTGTTGATTGAAATTGCATATTAACAACATATCGACTTTTTCGTTTCTCGAATACATTTTCCGTCTCTATTGATAATATGCAATTTTAATCAACACACAAATGAAGAAGAAAAATTATTGATGCAATCGATTAAAAAAAATAAAACATTTTGTGTAGGTACACCGCCTACTGAGTGAAATAATTATGAAGAAATAGCTGATAGCACTGTGGATCATCCTATAAGAGGGACAATTTTAGTTTTATAATTCCAAATGGGAAGATCAGGTGATCGGTACATGGCGAAAATAAAAGACAGATAGTTTCTGCACGAGTAGCTGAATTCGAAAAAATATGTTCCTATCTTAGATTCCTCAATATCATGAGTTATTTTCGAAGGTTTTCATCTTGACTCAAACAAGCTATTGACAACCTGCAGACATTGATCAGAATATCAAAACATTCAGAATAATATCGGTTTACTAATGATATTTAAATTTCAAAGCCTACCAAGTGTCAATATATCATCGAATTCATGTCACAGCCAACTTATTCTTTTTGAAAAAAAAGCAATTTAACAGGAATTAAGAAATAAATGCCACTTTGTGATACATGGTTAGCTCGATGGTTAGATAGAGAATTTCAAGGCGAAAAAGATAGACTGAAGGAATGTACAGGGTGAAATTAAAAAAAAAGTTGAGGTTACTTCCGGTCAAACAGGTGGTCGAAAAAAATTGTCGTTGAGTTCGTAAAGTGCGCTACCATTTATTATATACCCCCTGTGAATTTCAAAATTTTGTCTCTTCAAATAAAAAAACTACAGGCTTCTACATGTCTCCTGTGTCACCCGGTATACTTTCCGCCTTTGATTCACCCAAAAAATCATCACTTGAAGTTTTTTTTTTATTGATTTGGCCAGGAATTACTATTTTCCTGTTGAAACAAAAAAAAAATTGACCACCTGACATATCCAGTTTATTTCATGAATCTGAGAACATTAACATTCCTGATCTTGAATTATCAATGAAAAAGAAAACCTAGAATACCATACAACCTAAAGTCCAAAAGTCCAAAAATTCCTATTCTATCATGGGCACTTTCAAATGCTTCTCAGGAGACCCTGAACCACCTGGACCACCAGTACTTATCAGAGGACTGCTTTCATCTGAAAAACCACACAAATTATAACCAGACACACTGATCCTATCCAAACACACAACCGGCACCAACTTGGACATCTTCTGGTCACACTCCAAACTAACATGAAGTTTGGTTTTCTTAACACTCTGGAAAACCTTATGGCACAGATGACACCTCATGTGCAACTTCCTGTGCTTGGCTCTTTCATGCTCCGAATACAAGGGCTGGTCACACTCTTTGCATATTTTCACATACTGCACTTTTTCCTTGACAGTGAGGAGTTTAGAAGATCTGGGAGAGTCGTACTTGAAAGATGGCGATAAAGTTCTGTTATGCTTGTGCAGGGAGTTTTGCTTTGTTGGGGTGCTAGGGAGGGACAGGTTGGTTTCTGCCTTGATGGTGCTAGGGCTCAAAAAACTGTCGATTTCAAACAGTAGGGCAGCTGTACTGATTTCATTGGATTCTAATTTAATTTCAGTATGTTCAGTTTCTGTGGATTCATTTTCAACTGTGAGGGTAGCTTCATTGTTTTGGGGTAGCTCTATTTCAGCTTTAATGGCGGATATTGGTAATGGCATGCTGATTTTTCTGGATCTGCCTATCTTCCTGGGTCTGCCCCTCTTCCTTACTACATTTGAAGGAGTGTTCAGAAGTAAAACTTTGTTTGGATTTTGTATGCTACAGCCGAAGCTACAGCTAGGAGAGCCTTGACTCCTATTTCTCTTTTTAGTTTCTATCAGTGGAGTTTCTATATTGACTCCTACTTTGTGGGATTCTGTATCCTGGATTAGAGTTTTATCACAGTGGTTTTCATCAAGAGCCAGGTTTTCAGAAGATTCCAATGGGTTTATCACATTGTCATCAACCATTTTAGCAACACTTTCAGCACAAAGACTTTTTGGAACTGTTAGAAGAGTTTTATTTTCTATACTTGGTGATGCTATCCTTACAATTCCATTGACATGGCTCATTACTGAGGGAGACATCTTTTTATATCTTCTACCAGAAAGTCTTTTTCTGGCACACCCTGGAGGTCTAATGATATTTCTTTTTTTGGTCAAAGATTCATTATTGGAAATTTGTTGCTCATTGTTTTTATTTATATCAACAGATTCAGTAATTAGGGGAACAATCTCCTGAAATTTGTTGCAACATGTGTCATCTTTAGTAATTTCAGCTTCAATCACCTCAGTTTTATCAGCTTCAAAAGTATCTAATTCTTCTCTTACTTCACTTTCATTCATAGTAATATCACTCTGAGATTCTACTCCATTACAAATTGAACTTGATAGAATTCCTACATCAACAGATACTTTATCATTCAAATTACACTGAGTAGCAGATTCTTTCAATCCCAATGAAATATTGGTTGCAACTTTCATGGTTTGAGAAGTTTTGTCACAGCAAACAGGTGGAATCAAACACTGTATTTTTTGATCAGATGTTTTAACAGAATATTGACAGCTCACATTGTAAGTATGAGGTGTTTCGAATTGGGTTTGTTGATCAATCATTTTCAAAGTTGAGTTGGTTTGGGTGCTAACAGATGAAACATTTTCAATGTGAAAATTGTTTTGTTTCTCTATTTCATTTTGTGGTGGTGTATTGACTTCAACTTTGTTTTCTTCAACATCAACTTTACTTCTAAGCCAATCAAAGAGTTCTGTTTTCAAGTTGTCAATACTTGGTAACTCAATATCACAGAGATCTGGTATATCAACTTTCATTTTTCTGGTGGTTTTCAGTGGAATTTGAAAGCAAGACTGTAAAGTAAATAAATCTTGAAAATCACAATAACAGGCACAAATATATTTTACTCACCTGCAAGAATTCCTCATTCTGAAGAGACCTCACCTTGAATACATGAAAGTTATAAATTGTAGATATACAAAAAATACAAATGTATCTGGATGCATCATTTTTCTGAAACTAAAAGTTAGGAATAAGTACATAGCAAATAGTGAAATTCAAGGCTGAGCTGATGAATTTTATTCTTTCATATTCTTGATGAACTCATATTTGGAATTTTTGTACTTGACTTCATGTTTTGTTGAATATTTTAATTCTATTTTATCCTGTATTTTCATGGATATGAGTGTATTGTATTCATTTAACTTTTTATTATATTTCTTCACTGTAGTGTATTATAAATAGTATAGGAACTTTCTGTAATATTATTGTACTAGACCACTTGAGACTGAGCCTGTTTTTTTGGCAATATAAATAGTGATTTGCTTATGATAGGTGCTAATTTTCTGTAGGTAGTGTGGCCAGTCCCAGTATTTTTTAGTTCATTATCAGCACAATTCAACATCGCCACCATCAGCTTTTTATTCAAAGTATGGTCTATACACTAATCTTACCTTAATGCCTATGGTTAAATCGATGAGTTTTCGAATATAGTCTCTTTTTTTTCGGCTTTTTCCACATGTTAAAGATATTAATGCTAGGGGTGCACAGCATAACCTACACTTTTCTCCACACATGATGGATTTGTTCAAAAACTATAACACGTTAATTTTATTGTAATGATACATTGAATACATAACAAAGAACCCTTGAATCATCTAGTAAATATATTATTACACATATGTTTGGATGTAAAAAATCTCAAATAATGGAAATATAGAATCTAGCTAGTGCCGCTAAAATGCAAAAAATAAAAAATTTGTCAAATTTAACCTGTCAAAGTCAAAACATTTGTTGTCTGTGGAAGACAGTTAGTTCACTCTTCTTCTCATCTCATATTCTTTTCACAAAGATTCAATGATTTTCTAGGAGATGGCGTGCTCGACTCAAAAATGAATTATAATCAGTTCTACCAACCTTGCAAAAATTAATTTCAAAGGTGTCTTCTTCTCACGTTCTCATTGGTCGTCGTTCCAAGGTCGATGTAAATCCGCCATGTTTGGTTAAAATTTGAAAATTCGAACCTGAGATTCGAACTATGTGAAAAAAAGTGGTAGGTACTCTTTTTCGGTTTTCGTTGTTGTTTTGGTCTATTGTGATTAAATCGCTCACAAGCTCTAGCAGGTAAGTCCTAACATGATATTTTTTCTATGTAGATAATGAAATTTCATTTGTGCATGAGTGCTGAAAGAGAATTCAATGAAGTTTGGTCCTATATTTGGATAAATAACAGATATACATCACATGCTTATATATACTACTGATACTACTATACTAAAAAATAAATAGGTAATAGGAATTTGGTATTTTGTTTAATGTATGTGATGACCTCACACGCTGTCGATCGAGTGGTGGAAATTGGATGGAAAAAGGTATAGATGAGTATAGGTACCTACCTATCTCGGTACCTATAGCTAGGTACATATTCCCTAATGGCAAGCATACACTAGCTGGTGTAATGTGTTATCTAGTCGTTTAATTGTAATATATAGACTATAGAGTAATGTCAGTAATGTGATGAATTTTTGGGTGTCCAAAGTGTTTATTCAATTATTTATGTCAGATTTGTTTGTTCCACGATGTTTGTTCATAGCCGTAGACAAAAGAAATTCAGTAGGGGACTAGCTGTTATTGACAGTGACGAATGACAGGTCATCAGCTGTCAGAAGTAACGAAATTTGTCAACGAAAATTGATTAATTTATTTTCAGAATGCCTCAGAACAGCAGGAGCGCCCGCAGAAATAATCTAGGGGGTGGGGTGAGTCACAAAAATAATGTATAACAATATTCAGTATAAAATAGGTATCAAAAAAGGGGTTTTTCACAGTCTATATAATATAATAAGTAATTTTTTTCTGTGACGGGAAAAAAGTTTGGCATTTCATATCTGTTGGCAGGTTATAAAATGTCACTTTTCATAAATTACTTTTTTCCCGTGGGAAAAAAGTGAGTACTTTTTTCCCGGATATATATCACATATATATATACTGTTAATGGCTTTTGTTGTGCTATAGTTCCGAAAAATGAGTCAATAATACCGTCTCCGAGAAAGAACTGCAAGTCCTTTTACCTTCCATTCGACTTCGCGGTTTCGTATATTACTAAACAACTACTGAATTCGCAATTTTTCAAAATCAAATCACAGAATTGAACTGACAGAAAGTGACATCAGATATTTGATTACTTCAAAAGAATGATAAAGATGTCTATAAAACGCAGGTGTCCCTACTGTTAAAAACTTGAAATTTCACGTCGATAATTTTCAGATTTCGAAATAATGTAATATCTTCTCAATATTGATTCGTCCTTCCTTCTGTCACAGAAAAAAATAGTGTATTATACACGGGAAAAATATTAGATTTTAGCTCACGGTTTTTTGTCAACAACCTGGAGCTAAAATCTACTACTTTTTTCCCTTGTATAATAAATAACTATTACACTTCCCGAAAGCGGGAGTATAGAGTAGGTATACTCTCTAGACAAAAAAATTTCCCGGAATTATTCTGGAGAAAAAATTTTAATCTCCTTCAGCTCCTTCAATAGTTTAATCACACAGTTTGGCAATATTTATTAACAAAAATGGAAAACAGTTTAGAAAATGCGAGCACACACTATTTCGATGTTCATACAAAAGCAATATACAGGGTATATGTCACGACGAGCGCACACGCTATCTTTATATCAAGAATCAGTCGGGAGAAAACTATGAAAATGTGCAAGCTTATATTTTAGAATACGCTCGCTTGATTACAAATAATTCCGACAATGCAGTGTTGCCGCTTCTACTAGAAAGTAGTAGCAACATTGATATTTCAAATGGAACATTCTGTATTTCATGGTATTTTTAGATTCTCCCCGAAGAGCTGATTTTATCGATATATCACACTCGGGGTCAATCGAAAATGATTACCGATATATGGGATGTTCAAAATAGAGATTTTTCAACTTTAGGATTTTTTGTATCGAAACTATATTCATTATCGGTCAAAACGGCTCAAATGTCCCTATCTCAACTTTTGAATCACTATTTACTGATATTTAATCGGAACGGATACAAGATTCAGAATTCTGATTGACATTTTATAAACCTGTGTCAACAGAGATTAAATTTCAAACTTTTTTCTCGTCACAGAAAAAAATATAAACTTTTCTTCTACCTGATAGCACTAATAATTTACCATTTTCCGACAACATTGCTATCATTAAAATATGGTGGAGTTCTGTGGATGTCTTCCTAGTGAGTCACCTTTCTATACATACCTATATTTACATATATACAGGGTGTTCTGTGATTCTTGGAATCAACTCGGGAATCAATTATTGCCAAAAATAGATGCCTCATCTCACCATCGAGAACACCCTGTTCCTATTTTCTTATTTCACCCCTTTTTTTTCTCCAAGCGACATAGAAAGTGGCCTTTCTATGAATTTTAACAGGCAGTAGAGGTGTACTTCTCTGCCTAGGCAGGACAAGTTTGTTGATATGCAGCGTTACAAGTAATTTGAATGAAATTGGTAGGTAATCAGAATTGACACTGATGACATTGCGTGAACACAAAATGATATGGAGTTTTTAATGAAAAAATTACACATGGTTTATATCATTTGGAGAGAAAATTATATATGTTTCACACGGCAGCAAATGTAGATCGACAGCAGCGGCAGTCAATCTACTACTTTGCTGCCTAGTAAAACAAATAACTATTTTGGTCTGGTAGATAAATATGCATGCTATGAATGTATCGCACTGATGTACCTGATGAGTTAGCTGAGCGAGCACAAACATCCCTGGGATGTTTTGAGATGTTCTGAAAATGTTGGCATGAAGATGTTTTTTTCGAGACGTAATATGCACTTCCCAAAGAAGGAAGTCAAGGATATTGAAGTATTGCCCGAGGGGTAAATCTCCTTGGAAGTCTGGTGTACACTCCGTTGGAAGTCTTTGGAATTCTTTGGGATTCTTTGGATGTCTTTGGATGTCTTTGGATGTTTTTGGAAGTCTTTGGGTGTCTTTGGAAGTCTTTGGGAGTCTTTGAAAGTCTTTGGGAGCCTTTGGGAGTCTTTGGGAGTCTTTGAAAGTCTTTGGGAGTCTTTGGAAGTCTTTGGTCATTGGAAGTCTGGTGTACACATTTTTCCTGGAGATTTACCCCTCGGTATTGCCTTCGTTCTTCTGTGGCAATTTTTTGGGTGCATACTGAGAGGTATCCCGGGGATGAGATGTTTTAAGAATTTAGGCATCAGGGTGTTTTTTCAGACGTGATATATGAGTTCACAAAGAAGTCTTTGAAGGATATTGAAAGTATTGTTCTTGTTCTTCTGTGGCATTCCTTAATTTGTTTTTCTACTGATGAAGAAGTATCCCTGGGATGTTTAAAATTGTTGGCATGAGGATATTTTTTGAGACGTAATATGCACTTCCCAAAGAGGTCTTTGAAGGATATTGAAAGTATTGTTTTTGTTCTTCTGTGGCATTCCTTAATTTGTTTTTCTGCTGATGAAGAAGTATCCCTGGGATGTTTAAAATTGTTGGCATGAGGATATTTTTTGAGACGTAATATGCACTTCCCAAAGAGGTCTTTGAAGGATATTGAAAGTATTGTTTTTGTTCTTCGATCTGTGCCATTTAATTGTTTGCCCCACCACAACGTCACATTACGATGAATTATTTTTATTCCATTTATTATAATACCGACGACCTCCTAATTTTTCTCAGAACAGAAGCAACGACATATAGGTTTATTATTCATTCTAAATAAAATTGACCAAACTGGTTGTCCATAATCCGTAATAATATTCCAAACAGCACAGAATATTTTACGAATTTCTGACAACGTTCTGATAGAATGTTCTCAGAATGATCGTAGAATATTTTCATTATTCTTCTATCAATATTCACGTTTCCTCTTACTCAAGTCGTTATTGATAAATATATAGGTATACCGCCTACTACAATAATGACAATTTCGTCTATTAACATCGTCATTCTGGAAAAAATAGACATTCATCGCTGAATCAGATACCTATTCAACACAAAATTCGGGATTACATTGACTCGATTAGACGTGGTTTCACAAAATTCTAATCTTCTGCCATAATCATCCTTATGAAGCTCTTGAAGAATTTGCTGATGATCGTAAGGATATAGCTTTCACTGAACCAGTTTCGTAAAACTTTCTCAACAAATGATGCACTAATGCATACTAACATCACAATTTGGAGATCTTCCATGAACTCCATGAATCAAAATCATTTCAATTGTTTTTTGAACAGTGTAATCCATGTTCACAGTTTATTCACTTTATTAAAGGTATCACTGAATAGCTCAACAAATAAATCTAAATTAACAGTTCTAACTAATCGTTTAAAGCTGAACAATTATTTGCTGAAGAAAAAACAGAATTTTTGGAAACAGAAGTATCAAAAAACAGAACTGTGGAATTTCAGCGATAACAAAAAAAATCCAATAATGAACGCAAATAAACTATCATCGGAATTTCACTATTGAATTACTTATCAGCGTGAAGCTAATGGCCTAATGTTGCCTCTTGCCTCTGACGAAGAGTTGAAAAGGTGCCACCTCGGGTGCCACCTAATCTCTCAACCATTTGTACTGAAATAATTCTTGTCTAAATACTTACTTGGAAACCATGCATCTCAGATCAGGCATGTTTTAATTACTTCTGTAAGTTTAGAACGGCAATTTTCGGAAACTGCTCATCAAAAATTGATGGAAATACCGTTGGAAAGAGAATTGAACGACCTTCAAAATCATCTGCCAACGAACCCCCCTTTCCATTAGAGATTCTAAGGGTACTCTACCCCTCCTAGAAGGTTGAACCATGAGGGCTAAAAATATTCATTTTAACTGTCTCCCTTGAAAAAAAAAATGACCCTTCTTTTTGATTTTACATATAATTAATTTACTGGAAGTGAGATATGGAGGGAAGTTTTCAAAATATCACCCTGTATATTCATTTGCTTGACATTGAAATTATCAATTATAAAAGTGGCTGGACAATTTCATAAGCTTTACTAATTCATAAATCAACAAGCTTGACAGTAGTATCTAATTTAACTTAAAAGATGACTTTTTTGATTCACGATAATTCAAAGGAACTTAAGTCAGTTTTGAAGTGTCATGCATACTAGGGTGAACGCTGAAATAAGGAAAATTATTATTTATAAAGTTTCATTAATTCAATCTTTATCAAAAACCAGGCGAAGTCATAATTCGATGTTCATAAATTGGGTCTTCGTTAGACTTTTTTATACTTATCTGGATATAATTTGAATGGTTAGTAGTTCAGATTTGGGTTAGTAAAACAATAAAAAAATGTTCAACTGAATCATATAATAAAGACAGAACTTATAATTTAATATTTCAGAATATGTAACTAATACGCAAAATTCGAATAGAAAAACTTAATGAATATATAAAAACAATCGTAGTACCCTAATTAAAGCATCATCGTCAGTCCAGCCGTTCCTACATCACTTCAGTTCCCAGACATTCTTGACCCTGATAGTTCCAGCGATCGGAACATTGACAGATTCCGAAACTATAGTCGAAATAGTAGTGGCAATATTTGGGGAAACTCCATTATTATCAGCATTATTGAGCACCTGCTGGAATTGAGGAACCCCATTATTACTTTGCGCGTAATTGTGATGTGACTTATTGGCATTCGTAAAACCGATAGAAGAATTTTCCAGAGATTGTGTAACATTGGGATTGGAAAATTTCTGGGAGATCTGCGGAACAGTCGAGCTTGACGCTTGTGGAATGATCGAAGTAGTCTTGACGGTATCACTAACATCCGGATTAATTGCCGGAACAGACGATTGACCGTTGGTGCTGGGGGCGTTAACAAACATTTGATGATTAAGTACGTGCTTATCGCGATTCGAATGATTCGGCCCAGTATTCCTGATTGTACCGACTAGTCTAAAGTTTGGGGAAGGCATGTAAGCTGGGGAAGGCATGTAAGCTGGAAGAATGCTGGGACATTTAACATCCACAGGGACCAAATCATTCCACAAATCAAGTTTCTTCTGAGGCTTGGAAACTTGCTGGTAGGAATATTCGACATTGAAGGGGCCTTGCCTAATTTCAACTGGGACCTTATACACCAGTAGCAAATGTTTCAGGAACTTCAATTCGGTGGTTAGATCGCCGTGGTTTACGGTTATAGAGGCGCTAGATGGTAATTGCGTTTGAGTACTGCTATCTGCTTCTAGCTTTATATTTCTGTATTTGACCAAGAGCTCCTTCACGACTTTTATGTCGCCAAGTTTGGGATCTATGGTTTCCAAGAAGTTGTTGTTCTTGATTTTTATGTCCGGTTTCACCACTGAACTTGAGATGGCCATTTCTTGGATCGTCGGTACGTGAGGTTTAGGAGTTTCAGTAGAAAGTACTGGTGTGGATGTGGAAGCAGTGGACGCCACTGAAGAAGAAATGCGATCTGTGGTGGAAGTCACATTGTCATTTTCATTCTTCGGCGTCTTTTCCCCCGTTTCATTTTCTTTGACATTGGATGACTCATCGTCCGACAGAATTTCGATGACGTCAGATTTATCATCAGAAGTAACAGTCTTCTTTTCTTCTTCTTCAGGTGTTTCGGGAACTGCTATCAGTTGTTTTTGTCCTGGTATTCGCGGATATTCCACGAAAGCCGATCCATATGCTTCTCTAATCGGCAAATTCTTCTCGACCTTTTCTAGAAGAATCGAAGGTAAATTATTCATCATATTCTTGATTATACAAGATGATTGGATGTGCTGATTCTTCGAATCCATTGTTTTGAACTTTGCTTTGCAAAACTGGCATCTGAGGTGTTTCTCTTGGTGTTTCTTCAGGCTCCTTTCGGAATACTGCACTGAGTTACAAATGCTGCAGATGAATAACGCTACTGACTTTTCGACATACATAGTTCCCGGTTCGTTTGCAGGTGCCTTCGGCGTTAAACCAACAGCCTCGATGATTGTGGATTTTTTACTTTCAGGCTCTGAAGAAAAGTCACTGTCCGAAAGCTTTCTCTTTCCATAACGTTTCTTACTAGTACTCGATCTACTTCCATCAGAAGATTTGACACTCTCTTTGTCAGATTTATCATCAATTATTTTCGATACGTTGACTATTTTATAGCTGGCTTTATCTTTGCCTTGGTTTCTCTTTATATTGATAGGATGAACTTTCTCGTTGGTGGTTCGAGAACTTGAAGTACTTGCTATTGGCTCGGAAGATACTTGAAGAGGATCACTAGGAGCACTGGTTTTACTGTTGCTTTTAATGTTACTTGATTTTGTTGAGACAGAGGTGGTGGTTTGTGTGGGATTCTTGGTTGAGGTCTTTTTCATGGCAATTTTTTTATCCCATCTCAGAGCTAGCTGTGTGCATTTTTGGAAATTCAAATTATTCTTCTTAAAATAATTCTCAACGGCGTCCATCTCCATTGACACAAAAGGTTCTATATGCTTTTGCAAACAAACCGTGGGTAATTTGATTTGTGGATACACTTTGAATAGTTGAGTGATACTAGGATGAATTTTGTATGCTGATTTAGGAGCTACTGTTTGCTTTGGTTCATCTTTGGCCGCATTTTTCACAGGAGCAGGAGGTTTTTCCAATTGCTTTTCGGGATATACTTTCGGTTTTGGTATTTCTTTACTGGTCGACGCCTCGACCATTCCCTTGAATTGTTCCTATAACAAAATGTGAATCAAAATTAATCTAAAAATATGTCGGATTATGAGGAGATTCTTGATCAACGATGAAGATGTAGTTAATACAGGTTCGTGTATTTACCTTTAGGTATTTGTCATTTTTCAGACTTTGCTGTCTGAACTGGAACATTTTGAAGGAAATCTGGTGGCATTTTTCGCAAATTTTTTGGGATATCATGTCCTTCATGAGTATCTGTAACAACATTAAAAACCTAAATATAACTAACAGTTATTTCCAGAAATTCGTGGTCACATTTTTTTTTTCATTTTAGAGTGGATTGAAAAATAATGAAACAGATGAAGTCATGAGTATAACAAAATTATATAATATACCGGGTGACTCGGAACTTACCCCCCTCTATATATCCGTTGCTATTTTGTATAGATGTTTCAAATTTGGTACATCGATTTGATTTCATGAGTGTATAATTTTGCTAGTTCCAGACCAAACATTTTTAAATTCAAATACAAACTATAAACTACGATTCAGTATAAAATTACCTTTTCAATGATATATCACAATCATACTTCCAATCTACAATCGACTCATATTATTAATATTTTGAAAAAAATCACTTTTTGTATTACCCTCGTAACTTGTAGGAAAATTATCAAATTCAATATTTTGTTGCGTCAGATTTGCAGTTTCAATAATAATTCTCAACACATGGAAAAAAATCAATATCATAGCCAACTGATATGAAGTTGAAAGGTTCAATACAATGTGAGTAGATATAGCATGGAGATTATCTTCATTAAAATTGAGTAGGAAACAGAACATTTTTCTTTCTTGTCTGGTATTTCGATATGTATGAGAGTTTCTGACCAACTTAAAACAATCTGTGATAGTATTTAAAAAAAAGGTGTTGAAAACTTAAGAAAAACTAAAATAATTATAAAAAATAGTTGGTGTGCATAAAAATAATTGTTTAAGAACTTTGACATCGAATTATTGATTCTCACATGTTTTATTATCCATAGTACTTTTTCATGAAAATATTCCGCCACGAGGAATATCCAAAAAGTATTCTTTATAAAATCCCTATTATACGACTAGATTGTTCGGTAAAACCGGAGTGTCATATTTCGTCTGATACTAGCAAAATCGTACACTCATGTAATCAAATCGATGTATCAGATTTGAAAACATCCATTCAGAATAGCAACGAAGATACAGGTGGTAAATTGGTTTTGGGTCACCCGGTATAATAGTAGATCAGGGTGGACGTATTACAACACCAGTCAACAATAATTGGCAGGGACCTACATGCTTCATGTTACGAATATTAGTGAAACGGCCTCGTATATACAATGGGAAAACATATTTCAGATCACATTTTGTGAATGAATGATCATTGACTGTGATTATCTATTACTCATAAAATTTCAATGCTAATAAAAGTGAAATCCACCAATCGTATGTAACAGTTATAACTAACAAAAATAGTAATTTCACTAGCGCCTACAGACAGGAGGAAAAAATGAATATTGCGACAGCGCGACTACAACGACAATCATACACCAATCTTCAGGTGCGTTCGTGACGTAGTTGCTTGAGTATTTGAGGTCCACACCAGCGACCCGGGTTCAATGCCTGCAACGGATGTTTTTTTTTTTTACTCTATTCTCTCAAGTGATTTTCCGAAAAATATACTTTTCAGGAAGAAGATTCATTTAGACCGGGTGGGTGAGTTTGTTAATAAAAGGAGTCTCCTTTCTTATGTAGGAGGAATATGTTCCTTCCTCCCTGGAAAAAGTACTGTGTTGGAGGCATTTACCGTTGAGGTCGATAGTGATTCGAATGATGTTTATTCTCAGGATTGGCCGTGTTGATTATTTCTTTCCTCATGTCTGTAGACGCTAGTCCTAGGTACAAGGCGAATAACTCATTATTCTTTTTCGATATCCAACAAAGTAGAATTGAATATCATGTCATCTAAATCTGCACCCGGAGCTGCCTATCTCGGGAACTTTTCCATTTATTAAATAAATGAATAATTATCAAGACAGTGGATAAAAAAAGTTCATGAATCAACCTACACTAACTCGATCTTACCCTAACTATATGCAAACCTTCTGAAAGTAAGGTATTATTTACCTGTGACGAGGTTAATTAATTCATAACTTTAGACATACAAAAATCTACATTGACCTTATGTACTTGCCCTTCATGCATATCTACTCAAATAGAAGGGGTTATATTCAAATAACAAAAATCGACAACATTGAGTGGTCAACATTTCATTTATCAAATTCCGATTTTTAACAGAATTGTAGAAAGTCACAAAAAAACTCTCGAGGGTTTCGAAGAGGTTCAACGAAATCTATGAAATTATGATAGTTTTTAGTTCAATCCTGGGAATCCCTAAAGATTCAAGACACCTACGAAAATAATCTGTCTAGATCGTATCCACCAAATTCCAATTTAACGATAGATTAATAAGGAATTTCAATACATTTTTTGAGAAAATTATCAAGAGAAAAAAATACCGAGATGGCCTTGTATATTCAAGACAAAACATATTTGACGCCAGTTGATAAATTCAATAATATTGTTATTCAAGTGGATTTTCTTGATATATGAAAAATTACCGAGACGCCCTCATATATAAAAAAGATGAACTATCATCAGCCAGTCAACAGGATCGTTTTGTTTGAATTGACAAAAATTAATTAAATAATCTCGTAAAAATAGAACATAGAACAAGATGGCAGTACCACAAAGAAAAAGTGTAAAATATTGTAATTTTTCCTTATAATGTTTCAGAAACCAACGAAAAGGCTTTGTGTGAACGGAACAAGATGAGCGGCCGCGTATGCACGATGAGTGGACGTTCCCTAACATCAGTCAATAATTGGCAAGGACCCAAATGTTACGAAAATTATCCAGATCTTCTCGTATAAACAGAACAAGATAGAAGTACATCAGGTTAGTCCAAATTATTGTCATATCACGAAAATTAATGAGACGTCCTCGTATCTACGAGGAAATATGCACAAACCTCAAAGCCAATGAATAAAACCATTCGTTCGCCTCAAATTTCTAGTTGCTTCAAAATCAATAAGACGGTCTCGTATAACCAGTTGAAATTCCAAAAATCACAAAGATATCATTACTTGTCTCAAAAATTTCCATAGTTTATGGAACATGAGAGATTCTCGAATTTTAGTCAATATCAACAACATACTGTACGATGAATGGACGTTTCCTGAAAATAATTGACAAGAACCCACATGTTATCGAGATCGCCTCGTATATACACAACGACAAGGAAGTACACCACGCTAGTCACCATCTTCACTCAGTTGTTAATTAGCGTCATGTTACGGAAATTATTGAGATTACCTCGTATCTACGAGACTATTGAAAAAGTCAATCAACAAGCCGTGATTTCTCGAAGATTTTTTACATTTTTCAGAAATTGATCAGGAGGTCTACAAGAATCATAACAATATTGATTTGTCTGAAATCTTACATAGTGTTACAAAAACCAACGAAGCGACCTCGTATGTATGAAACGAAATGGATACACTCCAGTGCTAATCAACAATATTATTCATTCGGAAATTTGTTATAGATCCTCATGTGGTCCTGGTATATAATATACCAGTAAACAATTGGTAAGGACCCACACCTATGACAAGTTACGAAAATTATCGAGACCGTCTCGTATACACACCACGCAAATCAGCATCCTTATACTTTCATTCGAATTAGCCACCGGTTACGAATATTAACGAGATCACCTCGTATCTACGGGACAAGATGGACGAATCGTGAAACTCATCACTGGTCGACAATATTTATATCTCGCAGAAGGGGGTTTTATGAAATACTCATTGAGAAATTATGTGATATATAAACTGTAATTTTTCTTGCTGCTTGCGCATGGAGGGTTTACTTTAGGCAGCTTTGGGCTCAGGCCTAAATATGTCAACCAATGAGGAAAAAGGAGCAGGTTTGTACCTGTCATATCACTTATAAGGGTGTGTTTTTGATTATTTCTGCTATTTACAAAATTAGTGCAAGGAAAACAATGTACGGTATAATTATAAGACTGAATTCAAAAACATAAGCCAAACGTGAGGTTTTATAAGAGAAAAACCCCCCATGCGCAAACTCTCTGATATCGTTTTGTTAGAATTACCTTATACATGTTACGAAAATTAACGAGACCGCCTCGTATCTACGAGACAAGATGGACGATTCCTGAAACTCTACACTGGTCGTCAATGTCGTTTCTGCAGAATTACTTTATACATGTTACGAAAATTATCGAGACCCCCTCGTATCTAAGAGACAAGATGGATGAATTCTTAAACTCAACGACACTGGTCGACAATATCGTTTTGTTAGAAATACCTCATACATGTTATAAAAATTATCGAGACCGCCTCGTATCCGTTTCACTAGACAAGATGGACGTACCTCGACACCAGTGGTAATGAAAACAACTTCTTTCATGTTCTTCATGCTCGTCATCCGCTTATCGTACACCCAAAGGAGATTCTCCTTTGCCAAACATAATCGACACACTCCGTTCACACAATCCACATTTAGATTCGATGCCATTTGAGAGAAAGTGATACACGATTGGTAAACAGCAAGGTTACAATCGCATGGACCTTAGAACGGCGAGCGACACTGTGAGACTAGCGGAAAACAGAGGGTACGGCGAGACAGATGCACGATTGCCGGTGCCTACTGCCTGCTGGTTAATTTAAGGCGGTTGGCGTTGAATGAGCAGGCACGGCAGGGCAGTGTTGCCGCTGCGAAAATTGGATGTGTCATCAATTCGCGATAGAAAATAAGCGTACGCCACCTATTGGAGTCGTTGAAAGCTATCACAGCTGCCTGTTTACTTTATTTTCATTGGTTTGCATTTGTTTTTCGTTTGTGCTTATTGGTCATACCATAAAAACAAACCGCTCAGAAGTGTTCTAGGGGTTGCCGTCAGATGGGGCGACGTGTTCGAATTCACGGATTAGAATATAGTAACTGAGATGCATTTGTCAACAAGTTATTCGAAATTCGAAGTCTCATAAAAAATATCCTAAAATAGAAGATGGATATCACGGGGTACCAGGTACCTAGTTTTTAATCATATAAACTTGGTCCTCTGGAGATAATTTGCTTGCGTATTCTTTGAAATTTTGACAAATATGATGATCATGATAACGAATTTTCTGTCTCATTCAATTTATTAAAGATAAAAAGAGGAATAATTTTGGCTGTACTTCCAGGACTTTACCTAAATTTTCTCTATTTGTCTTCCTCAAGAAGTTGACAGTGACAGAGTATATACTAGTTGAATCTCATAGTTGAATAATAATTCTATGTATTCGTATAGTGAATTGAATGGACACATTTTATGATTTCACTTGTTATATATATACAATATATATATAGACTCACAACGGGAATCCGATACTGAAACTAACTGAAAGTGACAGTTACGTTGCCAAGCACATGAAAATAATTCCGGTTACCAATAGCACACCAAAATTCATTGTTGCAAATTTTATTTCATATTATTATATAGGACACGGGAATGAACTGACTCATCTTATCATCTAATCTAATCCTTCAGCGAGCAGTGAGTGGAGTTTGAGCAAGTAGTCCTGCGGTGTATACACCATTTTCACAATTTTTTGAAAAATCATCGCTACACTCAGGTGAACTGTCAACGTTACAATTTGTTAGGTGCTGACATTTTCATTATCACCAGTCGTTGATACTGGGGCTTGAGAATCTTGAGATCTCTGTCAATGTCAAAATTTATAAAATTCCGCTGGCTTGCCTTAAAATCACGTTAAGGTTTGAGCAGGCTTGGATTTTTTACTTGAAATTTGTTGAAATTTGAAACTCTACGCCAAGAACTTATAACCTCCAAAAATTAAAAAAAAATGCAAATACCTCCTTTCGCTGGGTACGCATGATGTTCTTCGAACATTATAGAGATTACTTTTCGTGAGCTCTAAGAAATAAAACAGAAGGTACCAGTTGGTTATTTTACCATTCTTCTTTGAAATAATGAAGTTACTCAGTACTTCGGAAGAATGATCTGATTGAGCATTTTCGAAATTTTTAATCAAATAATAACTACAACTAACACAGTTCAAAGCATTTCCCATTCTCAGCAATCTTTGTGAATATAACAATCGAATAATGGGTTCAGTTCAATCTATCTACATGTTATAGAAATTATTGAGACTGCCTCGTACATACGCAACAAGATGGATGCATACATACCTCAACTCCTGTTGTAATGAAGACAACTTCGTTCAGGTTCTTCTCCCTCTTTTTATCGAACACCCAAATGAGATTCTCGTTTTTCAAACATAATCGGCACACTTCTGGAATCGATATTGATGCCATTTTATTATGAAATAATGATTCAGTGACAACCTAGAGAGCTCACTCGATACCAAACATCGACGACTGACGTTGAAAGAATGAATGAACGTGAGGGAACTAGGGGGACGGTTAAAAAAGCGGTGTTGCCAAATCAGTAGATTTTGCACTAGAACTGGTAGATTGAGAACTTGTTTCGTGACAAAATACAGCATTTAGTATATAGTTGTTGGTGTTTATTTTGGTGATTTTTTTCAAATATATATGGTGAAATCTGGTGATTTCTGACAGCTGGAATTGATTACTTAACATGTGACACATGAAATACGTGGATATCATGTACCTATACCTACATTTTGACTATTTCTGTACAGTCGCAAGAGTTGATTTTTTGAGATTTTATTTTCTCTGTTAAATGTCACATCTGATGTTATGAAGGATTTATCTTGTTGGTTTTATTCCCTGGTAGCTCTAAATTCATATTTTTTCAGCAGCTTTTATTTAACTTGCAATGTATGTATATAATAATATGTTCGTCCTGGTGGAATCTTTGAAGTCAATTTTGAAGTAGATATTTTCAACCGATTGACCTGAAATTTTGATTGTACGTTTAGTTTGGGTGACAATGTGTACGATAAGGTGTGTGACGTTATTCTAAATCCATTATGGCGGACCATCCAAGATGACGGAATAGTAATATTTTTAATGCATTTCTACAATATGGGTATCAAATGAAAGGGCTCATTGGGAGCAACTCGAAAAATAATAGGACGTCATTCTAGATCGAATATGGCGGACCATCCATGATGGCGGAAAAGTTATTTTTAATGCACTTTTACAATATGGGTATCGAATGAAATTGCTCGTTGAGATTAACTCGAAAAATAATGTGACGTCATTCTAAATCCAATATGGCGGAATAGTTATTTTTAATCGACTTCTATAATATATAGGTAGGTATTTTGAGGGTTGCTCGTAAGGAGGCAACCGAATTACGGATAGAACGATTTCAGTGTGTTTATTGATTTTTATACTGGGCCATTTTGCAACTGAGTTGGCAACACTGGCTGAATGGAAGAACGAACCAAGGGGTGACGCAATCGAGACAGCTGCGCTGCCTATTGCGTTGCAATGTTGTCAACTTCGACAATGTTCAATTCATGACATTATTTGTGTTAAAAACCTTAGGGAAGCTTTGACCTTCGCTTCAATTAGTTAATATTATGGGTCGTAAGCATCGACATATTCATATACGATATTGTATTGAACCCCGTATAGAGCATGCGCATTTGTGTTCCCTATTGTTTAGTGGTGTAAACGTTCTTTCAGAGGCAGCGTCACCTATCTTTTAGTTGATGGGTGTTTGCGCTACTCTTATTGCACGAGCAGGAGTGAATAGAATATAGTGCTATCGCTGTCCATGTGCGACATTTCATTGCATCTGACAGAACCTACTATAGAACAATGGAGAGGGGTTAGGAATAAACGAGTACCTACCTAAGATATCATGGAGGATTATTGTATTGTACACTCCCTATCCTATATGACACATGTCACTCAGCAAATGTTCCCAAAATGCACGTAGGTACTCATAGGTATATTTTTTACTTAGTTTACCTACTATAATTGAATGTCCTCCTGGCCAAGTCAATGATGCTTCCGGTGCTTCTGACATCTCCGAAAGCAAACCCTAATCATACCATACCTATCCTATAAGTGCCTACCTACCTCTACCTAGTCTACCTAGTCTATAGAGGTAGTAGGTACATACCCATAGCTAGGTATCTGCCTGTGAAAAAAATATAGGTACGTATAATTAGTTATTTAATTAGGTAGGTAGATATAGGTATAGGTTTTATATATCTATCTACACTACTGAAGTTCCACCATGGTTTTATTTCATTGAACTCTTTCTCATCTCTTTGAAAAATAAAAAATTATTGTTTATACTGTGGTTCAGTATCCACAGAGGTCATATCCATTCCAATAAATAAATGACCAAGTACTAAACTAAATACCATTCAAAAATAAACTATGCTCCTATATTGTTATCAACTATTCTATAATGAACAACACATTTCCCACTGACTCACAGTCGCCTACGTGAGCTCGATCGCTAACATAGATAATAACCTACAATACAGCAATGCAATGTATCCTTTGTTCAAATAAACTTAGTGATTCAGCTGCAATAGGGAGGCCCCAGTTGGGTGATATTGTGTGGCTTGTATCATGTCTCGACGTAGTGCACGCGAATACCAGGTCAGGCCAATATTTTTTTAACCATCGTTGTAGTGTGAACAATCTTACCAATTTTTGGTCGATCAGTTTGTCTTATATATTGTTGAAATCGTTACTTATTTTTTTCATTTGATCGACCCTCACTTAATGAAAATCCATAATTATTGAAACTTTACGAACGATAGAATTTCTTCAAAATTAATTGTGAAAATTTTATGGAAATGTTATCGTTTGTGAAATTTCGACATATTTTCCCTTAGTTTGAGCATTTCATTGCGATTTCACTTTATTTTCTGTTCTCGACATTCGATAAGAATGATGTTCTTTTTCTTACTTCGTTGGTATATGTATGTACTTACCAACTGGCCATCAACCTTACGAGACGTCCTACAGCCCATGTGTTCTGGGTTGGCTTTGTTACTAACTCCATACGCCAACTCAGGAGCAGCACTGTTTATTGGAACGCAACAGCGAATCGTACGCAATCATCTTCGGACGAGCATTAGAATGTTTAACTCGTTTTATAAATGAAAATTCTCTACTGTCGGGGATTCGAACCTAGAAACTTCTCGTTGTTTCCATCAACTTAATCAACAATTTTGACGAAAGGAAAAATGGCAGATTGATATCGTCACCTATCTTAACCTAGTAATTTTGAAATTATTTTGAATTAATTGCAAATACCTACCTTTCCTCCATATGTAGGTAAGCACGATGTTCTTCGACCAGTATATTTTATCGCTCCGATTTTACTGAAATTTACTGGCAACGTTTTCGCAGGTCATTGCAAGGAACCTTGTTATAGAGGCTAAAAGTTTACTGTTGGCCACTGGTGAAGAAATGGTGATGCAGTGTCAGTATTCATGAAATGTTAGGTTAAGCGTTTGAATATTTAGGTATGAGTTGATAAAAATCATATATTATTATTTTCAAATACTTTCGGAAAATGTATGAAGTCGAACTGGAAGATCTCACAGTGAAACTGCCACTTATTAGTATTATTGAATAGAGTCCGACCACGATAACTTAGGGACAGCACGTGACGCAACGCATATGCAAAGTCAATGCTTACGCGACCACGTGCTGTCCCAAAGTTATCGTGGTCGAACTCTAGTAAGAATCATGGAAATAAAAACCAACAAAACAAAACATCGAAAGATCATAGGTTTTGATAATGTTTTACTTCCAGTGTACCGCTACCTACTGCCAAAATCCGAAATGAAATGACTATTAGGTTTGTTCGCGTTAGAAAAATAAACAGTCTGAAACCATCAGAAACATGCGCAGTTCCACGGAACTTGAAATATGCGTAGGTCTGTGAAACTTCGCATGCTCCTGATGGTTTCTGACTGTTTATATTTTGAACGGCAACAAGCCTATTCAAAGCTACTGCAACTGTTTAGAGTTCCTAAATTTCTTACTTTGGCCAGTTATGTCAGCAATATCGGATCTTCACCTATAATTCAGAGAGAATAGCAATTTAAAAATTGAATGCAACATTGATAAAATAGACTTTCATCGTTTATATTGAAATTATTGATATGCACTAATAGGCTTCAAGCTTTAGACACCATCTGTGACTATCTCAAAATTTGAACTTAAAATGAAAATTAATTAGTACGGCTGAAATAATTTAGGTCACTATATCGCAAGTTGAAATTATTCTCGAAGGTTAAGTGAATAAAAATAATAAATGAAGACTGAAAAATAATGTGTTAATTTTATACTAACCTAACTATATTCTATGGTTGAAGCAGGTGGAAGTCCAATGTATCTCAAAGTGTAAGTAGTACATATCTTTACAAAGACTATTTATCGCAGACAGTTTGATGTGAAAAGCACACCAAAAGCAGAAGTTCGAAATCTCTCCTCCATTTTGTGATTTCCACATCAAACTGCTTCGAAGATGGAGTCCTACTTAGTAGTTAGGTACTACCTATGTAAAAAACAAATCAATTCAAATTTTCTTATTGAAATAACTTTTATGTTGGTGATGAAAGTGATAACTGAAAGTTGCATGTTATTATATTTTCTTCAGCTACCAAAACAAACGTGATACTATACCTTCTTGATTCACATCAGCAAAGAAAATTCGGTATGAAAAAAAAGGAACATATTTATTTCAACAATATAATATAAAAAAATAAAAATAACTGTATAAAACCTAGTGATAAATCCTATAAAAAAAAAACATACTAATTACATAATATGGCAAACACACTCGTAGGTAAAGCTCTACCTTAATTCATGCAAATTCTTAACTCTAATAGCGTTTTTTACATTGCTAAGATTATCACTCGATGTTCTATGATTATTTGCTAAATTAAGTAAAGCAGTTTCAAAAGGAGGTGGTGGTGGTGGCCTCATGTAACTCTGACTGTTATGAGGAATGGCAGAATACTGTTGATTGTGAATATAATTATTTATAGGTGTATTATTATTATACATGTTAATATTAGGGGTTCTCCCACGATAGTTTGCACCAGGTATAGCATTGACATCAGCAATCATATCAACATATCCATTATTGTTGGTCATGCCATATTCTGAAACTGAGGGAGTCCATACCTTAGCATTAACTGGCATATGTGGTATGCCTATGCTATTGGCATTAGAAACAGCGGGGTTAGAATATACTTGTCCATTATGTACATTATGTATGTTGGAGTAGCATTGTTGATGCTGCTGTTGCTGATTTTGATTAACGTTTGAATAGTAACTATTCATGTTTTGAGGGGGCAGCATAGATTGTTGATTATTGCTAGAATATGGAGTAGGGGCATTGAAAGAACTTGCGTTCGTACCATTATTGTACGAGATGGTGGTGTCGAATGGATGTACATTATTATTAGGCGATATATTATCTGGATTATGAGCAGCAGTGAAAGAAAGGTCTCGCACACTCATTCCTGAGGATAACATATTGGATAAAATATTTGGAGATGTTCTTGGTACAGTCACATTATTTGGATGGTTAAAAACAGACGCGAACGAAGAATAATCACCTATGGGTACACCTGTATTGGAATGATTATAATTCAGGGCTGTTCTCGGTGTGTGTATTCTTGATTGAATTTGAGATGGCATGTAAGGTGTATTATTAGGAGATGATCTTGGTACGATTACATTTGGATGAGTCTGAGATGGTGTGGGGACAGGTTGATTATTAGGGGATGTTAAACAAACATTCGGATGATTTTGAGGTATGGAAGACATATCATTATTGGGGGATGATCTTGGTATCAGGACATTTGAATGTATGCGAGGAGGCATGGAAGGATTATTAACAGGGGATGTTCTCGGTATCAGTGCATTTGAATGGACCCGAGGGGGCATGGAAGGATTATTAACAGGAGATGTTCTCGGTATCAGTGCATTTGAATGGGCCCGAGGGGGCATGGAAGGATTATTAACAGGGGATGTTCTCGGTATCAATGCATTTGAATGGACCCGAGAGGGCATGGAAGGATTACTAATAGGGGATATTCTTGGTGCAGGATTATCAATAGGAGATGTTCTTGGTATGAGTACAGTTGGATGCATTTGAGAAGGTATAGGATTATTAGCATGGGATGTTCTTGGTGTACGAACATTTGAAGGTATGTGTGGTGGTATGTAGGCAGTGTTGTTTCGATTTTGCTCGATTGTACTAGAAGTATTCGAAGGTATGCTAGTGGAAGGTTGACTCAGATTAAATGCACCAGCATTTGAACCAGTATCGGAACTAATTTCATTTGAAAAAATCTGCCCAGTAGGACCAACAGAAGCATACACAGAGATATTCGGAGTATCGGAAGATTGTAGAAGGTTACTCAACGTCAAATCTGCAGCAGATGAAAGAGAGGGGTCATCAGTAGGAGTAAAAGTCGTTTCACTAAATTTGCTATTCAATATGAGTGCAAGCTGAGTAGGAGAATTGGTAGTATTTGGTGTGGTCAGTTGACTGGGACTTGGTTCCATTGAGCCTGGAGTTTTACATTTAGATGTAGTTGAGGTTTTGAGCTTCGAGGAATTAATATTTTTGGTAGAATCAGTTGCACTTGGGGATATTTTTGATCGATTGAGAAAATAATCTTTCGGTTTAATGATACAGTTCATCCTAACAGGTGTTTTTTCCTGATTAGCCGAGTTTCTTTCTGATGATGCTGTGTCAATTTTTGGCATTGACGGTTTCGTGCCTATTTTTTTCGGATTTGCAGTTTTATTACCGGATTTTGAATTTTCATTGCTCACATCTTTACTTTTCACCACACGTATTGGATTATTTTCGGTGCTAGAACCAGGTACAGGATTTGTAGTTTTATTACCGGATTTTGAATTTTCATTGCTCACATCTTTACTTTTCACCACACGTATTGGATTATTTTCAGTGCTAGAACCAGGTACAAACTTACTATCAATATGATCATTAGATACACAACTACCATTAATTCTAGTAGTAACAGGTACAGAATTTCGATTAATTTGTTTCGGAGACTGTTCAACCGTTGCGATTTTTTTCGCAGTTTTACTTTTTACGTCGATGGGCTTCAAATCATTCCAGTAGTAGAGCTTCTTTGGTTCCTTCCTGACTGGTTCATAGTTGTAAGTTGCTTTCAACGGTCCGAACTTCACATACACAGGAATTTTGTAAAGGTTCACCAAAGGTTTCAAACCCGTCAACTCAACAGTTAGCGCGTTCTCATTCACTTTGATCGACTCATTTTGAGGGAAATCCGTTTGAATCGATTTATTCTGAAGTAGCAAAAGTAGTTCTTTCAGCTGATGGACATCCGAGGGTTGTTTCCCCACCTTATCCAATAAAGTACTGTCAGAGATTATAACGTCTGGCTTCAATACTGAAGTGCTAATCTGCGGCTTCTGAGATTTGTTCACGCTGCTGGAGCGGGTAGATGGCATATCCTCACTATCAGACAATATCTCGATTATGTCTATCGTCTCATCCTTCGAAGCTACTGTAGCTGATCCAGGCAGAGGTGGAAACTCACTGAAGGCTTCTGGATAAACCTTCCTCATCTGTATGTCATATTCTATCTTGGTCACTTCAATATCCGGCAGGTTTCCTATGGCTTTTTTGTGATGGCAGGCACTATCCTCATGCAGCTGCTTTTCAGAAGCAGTTAGGAAAATCTTTTTACAAAACTGGCACCGTATATGCCGGCTCTGATGTTTATTCATATCTTTGGCATTTTCGAATACTTCACTATATGTATCACAAGGAAAAACCGATTGGGACTCAGTTGCATTTTCAACTTCTGGATCTAGTGCTATTTTTTTGGAATTCGTTTCCGACAAATCATCGTCAGAAAGTCTTCGCCTTCTCTTCCTCATCATCTTTTCGTGGTCTTTCTGCGTATTATCTTCGTCATTCTCGTCTATCGAGTTTCTTAGGATGGTGTATCCCTTGGACTGGTTTTTGATGATATTTATTGGAGGAACTCTGCTATTGTTTTCTTCAGTGTTCTCTTCTGCTGGAAGATCAGTTAGAGCACTTTGGCTAGTCGTAGCGTTACTTGTAACCGTCAGTACAGATGAACTACCACAGGCAGTTTCTTCGAGATTCTTTGGTTGTGGTTGATCCAGTCTTAAAGCTAATCTGACGTAGTCTTGCATTTTCAAATTTCGAGTTCTGAAATAGGTCTCTACAGCATCCATTTCCATTGATACTACAGGTGCTACGTGAGATAAAATGCATATTGAAGGAAACTGGGTCTTCGGGTATTGCTTTGACAGAGCAACCATGGTGGGATGCACTTTATAAGGTAGCTCGGGGGGAGGCATAATGCTTCTCTCCTTTTTCTCCAGTTCTTCAGTCTGTTCCCTCTTAATGGTGACGTCAGTATTCGGAATTTTGATGTTCTTGTTCTTAAGTACATGTCTGCATTGATCCTGGAACAAGAATACAATTATGAACTCTCACTGATATTTTTCCATTGCTCTAATCAGTTGTGTCGTAAAAGTAGAAGAGTGATAAAGCTTGGATCCAAAATATGAAAGAATGATTATAATAATAAAATAAGGATCCAGCATCAGTCAATGTAATTTCTATTGGATTTATGCGATCTCTTCAAGATGCTTTGATACTTTTTTTACAAGCTTTTATTCAGTTTCACTTTGAAATTTGGCAGGTTCAAATGATTATTCTGGTGACACTGCATCATGAATTTGTATTTAGAGAAAAAACAAAATGGCTGCTCCAAAACGGCAGATTAAATTTGTATTTATGATCAGATTCTATTCAAAATAGGTATCTGAGGGGTTTTTGGCGTCGGCAATTATGATACTTCTGTCAAAATGAGAAAATTGAAGATGGCGGCTCCAATATGGCGGACGAGTTTATTATGATCTGATTCTATTGGGAATTGGTGTCTGGGGGTTTTTGGGGTCGTCAATTATGATTCTTTTGTCAAAATCAGGAAATTCAAGATGACGGGTCCAATATGGCGGACGAGTTTTGTAATTATGACCCGATTTTATTAAAAATTTGTATCTGGGGCTTTTCGGGGTCGAAGATTATGATTATGTTGCAAAAATCGGGAAATCCTAAATGGCGGATCCAATATGGCTAACGAAATTTGTGGTTATGATTTGATTCTATTCAAAATTGGTATCCAGGGGTTTTTGGGGTCGAAAATTTTGATTCTTCTGTCAAAATATGAAAATTCAAGATGGCGACTCCAATATGGCGGACAAGTTTCGTAATTATGATCCGATTCTGTCCAAAATTTGGATCTAGGAGTTTTCAGGGTCGGAGATTATGAGTATTTTGTCAAAATTAGGAATTCCAAGATGGCGGATCCAATATGGAGAAATTTGTTATTTTGATCTGATTCTATTCAAAATTGGTATCTGGGGGTATTCTGGGTCGGACATTATGGTTCTTCTGAAGTGATAAATTCAAGATGACGACTTCCAAATGGCACATGACTTTTGTGATTATGATCCAATATTCTATTCAAAATTGGTATCTGGGGGTTTGCTGGGTCGTAAATTATGATTCTTTTATCAGAATTGATAAGTTCAAGATGGTGGCTTCAAAATGGCGGATGAGTTTTGTGATAATGCTCCGATTGTATTCAAAATTGTTATGTGATGGCTTTTGCTGTCGGATATTTTTACAATTCATAAAAAATACTCCCAAAGACGATTTTTCTTATAATTCCACTGGAAAAAATAATAATTGAGGGCAAGAAGGTATTGGATGTTTCCGAAATTTGGGAGGTTATAGATTCTTCCCTAGTAATGTTTTGGTACAACATTTGTCAACAAATTTCAATATGGCTGTCGAATGACGATGGGGAGGTGTTCGTCTGACTGATATTGCTAGTGATAGAAAAAAAAGCAACATATAACGAACACTATCCACCTCGCTATCCACTTTTTTATCTTTTGAAACACATGAAGAGAATTCCCATTATGTTAGCTGACTGACCTTGTCGAGTTCGTCTGACTGGTACTGCCAGTGACGGAATGATTTTTGAAGAATATTTTCCGTGGAAGTATCTGAAAAAGTGAATGGTCGCTGGTTTTCCAGCGGTGTTATAGTGATGTCAAAAGAAATAATTGAGTGTGGGCTTACCGACAAGGTGGATAGCTTTTGAGAAATATAGACTCGCGCCACTATTCTTCTCGGAAGGCCCCATTGGATTGCATTGGCCAAGGATGTTTACGTGAAGATGAACTAAGATTGCCGAAGGATCTCGAAATGTTATGGAAATGCTAGAACCATCTTGGGTCATCTAATAATTGGGGCAGATATCCCGATGGGTTTATTAGTAAGAAAGCGATAGTGAAATTCGGCAGGTGTACATATTTCTGGTGAAAATGAAACATGCCATTTTTGTTAGAGAAAAAAACAAAATGGCGGCTCCAAAATGGTGAATGAGTTTCGTAAGAATTATGATCCGATTCTATTCAAAACTTGTATCTGGTGGCTTTCGGGTTCTGAGATTATGATTCTTTCGTCAAGGTTGGGGTGTTCACAAGAAGGCAGATCCAATATGGCGAACGAATTTTGTAGTTATGATCCGATTCTATTCAAAATTGGGAACTGGGGGTTTCCTAGGCCGGAAATTATGATTTTTTCATGAAAATTGAGAAATTCAAGATGGCGGCTTCAAAATGGCGGAAATTTGTATGTGGGGGCTTTGGTTGTCGGGTATTTTAACAATTACAAACTTTATATGAGGGTGTCATAAGAATCTGCTGATGTGTAAAGTAGCTTTTGCGATCGACTTGAAATGCTTTTTTCATGAAAGGGTATTACTGATGGAAATACTGAGCATAAAGATGATGGTACCAGACATGGTTATATCAGGTATTCTGAGTTCGACTTTCTTCAGAGAAAATATGGGCTTGAGTTATGGTGGGGTTGTCAATTTTTCCGCGGTGTTCTGAAAATGTAACATGTGAGTGTGGCAACATCAACCAGGCGAATAGTTCTCTGGAATGGAAACTGAGAACTTATGTTTGGGTTACTTATGATGGAAGTTGCTAAGAGTAATGATTTCCAGCATAAAGAAGTGATATGTCTACTAGAATGTACTTGGGTAATATTATGACTCTAAAATTTTCAGGCTTTGGATAGGTACTCAGAAGTGAGGAATATTATCGGTTCAAAATGTAGATGAAACAAGATGCCGATTGAAATCATATTGTGGTTATTCTTGGCTGATTCATCATAAATTCAATATCCGTGGAGTTTTAAAAACTGAGGAATGAGCAGAAATAGAAGGAATGAGAGGAAATTGGAATACATACGGAAAAACAGTATGAAAATAACCATACCTATACCTACTTGATGAAAATCTAGAATAAGTTATAACTGATGAAAGAGGCTGTTTTCGGTGGTATTAAAAAAAATCCTTCAATTCGGAGACAGAAACCAATTATTGTGAAATGATGAAAGACCTATATGACAGAATTATAACCTGAATGATGATTGAAAAATTTAACAGAGATTTATCCTAAAATTCAGTTACTCAATAGGATGATAATTACCTTGAGGTATTTGTCATTTTTCAAAGACTCCTTTCGAAACTGAAACATTTTAATAGCCACCTGTAGACACCTGTGGCATATTTTCTGAGTGATTATATCCTTGATGTGGATCTGTAACAAACAAAAACATCGAATTAGTGAATAAATTAAATGAGTTGAAAATGTGAACGAGGTATATTGTCGCGTACGGGGCTAATAGAGGATCAACCCCCGTCGCTTGGGACGTACTCAGTAAGGAACAGCTAAACCCTTTTTGCCTGATGGGCTGATCTTAGGAGGCTTTTATCTTATCTACTCAGGATAACCACTATTCAGTGAATCAACCACAGGTTTTTATAAATCAGGGAATTTTATTAGATTTTCCTGGAGAAACAAATCGGCAACAAAAATATATACAACGCCCAGTACAACACAAAATTCTCTTACCTTAATAAAATATCCAACATGATTGGCAGTTCTCTCGAGGAGGCAACGCGAAAGCTCTAATGGTCAAAAATAACCCGCAAGACAAAAAAGGCACTAACTAAAACTCAAGATGCGCGGTCTACTTAACTCAGCAGCTATCCTCACCCTCGCCTCGCGGACTAACAACTGTGCCTATCTCCGAAGATCTACCTATCAATTCTCATGCCAGCTCAAAGTCTATCTCTTCCTGAATCAGCAGTTTCGCATTCCATTATCATCCAACGATGTTCTCGTTTCTAGTTTTGGCAATGACATACTTATTGAATATTTATTGTTTACTGGTGCTGACCCATATTCTCTATAGACTTGAAGGTAGCAATGTTTTGTTTATGAAAATGATTTTATAATAAGAATATTGAATATGAATTTGAAATATGAAAAATCTTGATGTTTTATTCAATTTGTTTTTCACCCGAAAAAGTGCCCTTCTTGACATATGCCTCCCCCTCGAGAAAACTGGCCTCCAGTTTTATAAATTTCCATCCCTACATATGCAAAAAAAATGAGAATCTATATACCTGCAACTATATATAATCTATACCTGCAAACGTATTAAGTCTATACCTGCAATTATATAATGTAGCTACTATTAATTAATGTCCATGAATATAATACAAATCCCTACTCTATCGCACCTATTTCTTGTACCCGGCACTTGAATGTTCCCTTGGTACACACAACATTTTAACTCCGGTCCTGCCTTCTGCATTGAAACGTATTCTCCGCAACCGTCGGCTTTCAGTTGCGGTGTTGCCTGACGACTGACGCAGATATCATCCGCTGGGTGGCTGCCGGCAGTGGCTGCCGGGAGTCGGCTGCCGGGGTTCGGCTGCTGGGGGTGGGCTGCTGGCTGCGTGTGGCGGCTACTGTAACGTGGTTCTGTGGAATCGTGACTACATTCATTACATCCATTACAAGTCCATCGTTACGTCTGTTTGATATATGGGTAGGACAAGTTGACAACACCGGAACATTAAGGCTATGGTTAGGGAAGCTTATGTTGGCATTGTCTGTGGCAATGTTAACTGCGGTGAGACATGGTGGTTCTCTAGGTTTCCATGTTCGTTGATTATCATAGACAGAGATAAAAAAATGGAATCCGTGTCATTTGTCATTCGTCACTCTTGGTTAGTTAGTTCTGTGACTTCTGTGTCGATGCGGCAAGTGTCAAGTGTTGGCGGTAGTATCCGATTTCGAACTTGTTATCTATACGGACTCACAAGGCCTCTCTTTCCTACCTCGGCGTTGGAATTTGAGATCAGCATATTGTTTGGTGTCCGGTTACTTGCTTTCGTGCGTACTTTTTCTTGTGCCTACGTGGTAAGTGCAAACTTTGACTGTTTCATACTCTGTTTATTCGGTGGTGTGCCGTTTGGTTTATTCTATTCCATTTTCTCTGTTTTCCAGGGTGAAAAAAAAATAGGGTGGAACGGCTGAACTACTCAGTTCATCCAGCATAGTTCTCCAACCTCAGTTCGAAATAGCGCGCCCCTTCTCATCAAGAGGTGCGATACTCATCAGATGATCCCTGTTGTTTGCTGGATAATCTGTCCACGTAACCTCTACCATTCCTTCTATCTCAGTCGCAGAATAGTGGGCCAGTCACCTTTGCCTCATCCTTCTTGACGGGCCTGTCCTTTCCAGTGATAGCCTTCTCGGTCGCAGCGTCTTCGGTGTCTGAGCTTTCCAAGGGTTGTGTGTGTACCATAATGAATCTGTGCCATCAGTGACCTGCATGCAGAAGAGACAAAATCGCCAGGTAGTATATTTTAACATAAAACTTACTGTATTTATAACTACTTCCAGAAGTTCACGAAGTGTGCTCTTCACAAAATTCGATTTATTCACTTTAACTTCGTGAACTTCTGTTCACGTTCCTACCCAAATATAACTTCAAATTTATCGTGTATATAGCCTAATATAGCCTAATATAAAGTGAGCTTGAGAATAACTTATGATATACCTAGGTAGTTTATTATGACATCCTTCTGGCCCTTTTTTAGCCCATTCAAACTTGACCTTACAAAATTTTCTTGTCTGAATAGCCCTCATATCAATAACTTATATAGTGTAAACTCTATCCTTAACGAAAACATTTCCAAACGAACTTCATTGTTTATGCCAACAACATTATATGATCAAATGGCCGAATTTTTTACAGCCAACGTAATTTCGTGACATAGACGTATCCGTAAGTTGGACATAATAATATTCTCAGAAATTGCCTTATCCTGTTCTGCCAAAGCCTGGAAAGTTGCTGGGGCGTTACATAAGCCGAAGGAGAGGACGTTGAATTCGTAGGATCCGTGGCCCTGGGCCGAGAACGCTGTATACTGTTTGGAATTTTCTTCAATGTTCACCTGCCAGTATCCACTGAACATGTCCAGAGTCGAGAAATACCTAGCTCCTCCCAGGTAAGTTAAAATATCATCTATGTTGGGTATTGGGTAGTTCGATTTCTTTGTTACGTTGTTCAATTTTCTGTAATCAACACAGAAACGTATTGACCCATCTTTCTTTTTAACCAATACCACAGGGCTAGCCCATGGTGAATGGCAAGGGCGTATCACATTGTGTTCCAGCATCTCACTAATTTGTTGATCAATAACTTCCCGCTCTTTCTGTGATACTCTGTAGGGCCTACTTTTGATTGGTTCTGCGGTTCCTACGTCTATTATGTGTTCTGTAAGGTCTGTCCGTCCCATGTATTTCGTGGATTTTGAGAAGACGTCGCTGTATTCATCCAATAAGGCTTCCAGTTTGTCTTTAAATATTCCGTTCTCTATATGTTCAGTATTATGATCTTCCAATGTAACGATATCCTCTGATCCTGAGTTGCACAGCACTAGAACATCATGTAAAGGTATTTCTGCTTGATTTATCCACCCTATTGTTGACCCTTGCAAAATTTTCACCTCGTTCACATTCTTGTTCAATAGCTTGATTTCGGCAGTATTTTGCCCTGTCAGGTAATTCGTGTACAGTAGCCCCTTGCTACATAAATATTTCTCGTTTAATTCAAATTCTGCTCCCGACAGTGGTAGTGCTTCTGAGACAGGAACTGATTTTTCCTCATTCGGTTTTATTGTAATGTCCGTCAGTCCGGTAACTTTCAGCCTCATATGTTGGTCATTCCTTGGCTCCAAGTCTTTTCCCAGTATTCTCATAGTACCTTTCTCTGTGAGGTGAGTCAGTATTGTTCTTTCAGTGTAGGCTCTTTTTTCCAGTTCAGGATCCCATTTGCAAATCAAGATGGTTACATCCATGTTCCCGAAGATGAAGTTTATCATCTCCTTGATAATACTCCATTCCAATTTGTCCAGGCCACACCCAATTTTCGGAATAGCCACTTTCCTGATTTTCTTATCCTCCATGTATTTCCTCATATTCACTAGTGACCTAAACAGGTCCTCATATTGTGGTTTTGACGCCGAATCCTGTTTTGTGACAAGATAGAGTATTTTTCTCCCTTTGACTGTTAGTATCGCCATACCTCCTTTCTCTTGTCTCTGATTTTTCAGTTGATTTATTCCTCCAAATCTGTTCCTGAATTCTAGTGCAATTCCACGGCTCATTTTCATATCCTCTGCCACGCAATGGGCTAAAGTATAATCATCTGTGCAGTCAAATAGATTCTTTGTTTCTTCTGTTATTAGGGCTCTCGTGATTTGATTTTCGACATTGTGTTCTGACCTTTGGAAGTTTTCATATGTTAATGATGAGACCCCGTCTTTATTTTCGTGGAGGTCCGTTTTGACTGTGACGTGAATTTGCCCTATATTCTTCCTGTCCCTTGAACCAGGGGTTGATATCTCATCTCTGGATGATATTATATTTCCTGTCATCTCCGTATTTTCAATTTCTTTGGCTTTGTTCCCTTCTAGGGGGTGAAATAAAGTGTTAGTCAGGCATAGGAGTAGGAAACATAATGTGGTTACTATTCGTATGATGTCTTCTGTTGCTGTCATCCCTAGCCTTATCACCTCCGGCTTTTCTGGATGGAACTCCCTTTGTATCCCTATCTCAGGTTGGCCTGATTCATTGTTTGTACTGTGCGGTGCGTCAGTTTCTTTCTGCATGTGCTTTATCAATAACAGCTCATCGTGGCTTTCACTCTTCTTTTTCGCTTTATGAGCTGCTGTGATCGTTTTCCAGTCCTTTTCGAAATTCCTGAGAGTTTCCTGCCTGTACATCTGTTTGTAATCTATTTTAAACCATCCTATATAATTTTGATCTGGAGTTTTCATCATGTTAACCATACTATTAGGCGAAGATGATACCTGTATCGGTTTCTGGAAAATATTTTGTCCCGAATGTAGTGTTATGTGTCCCTGTAGTAAATCTATTATAGTCCTGTTCTCTGACAAAAACCCCATCCCCAGTAGAAGCGGTACTGGTAATTTTTCGACGACTGTTGCCGTACAGGAACCAATAAAATCTCCTATCTGTAAAGTAAAATTTGTTGACCCTAGTGTTGGAATTCTTGTATTTCCAGCCCCTATGAGGTACTTAGGGCATCCGTAAATTGCTTCGTCTGTTAGTACGTCTTTTCTCACCACATTCTGCTCCGCTCCAGTATCCAGGATTATGTCCACTTCCCTCTGGTTAATCTTTGCTGCTATGGTGAGAACTCTGTTTGTCTTCCC